GTAGGACTGTGGGGGGGGGGTGGATATTATGTTTTAGAAAGGACTGGTGTGATGTGTACGACTGTGTTGGGAGGGATGTATGTTGGGGCGAAGGGTATTGTGTGTTGGGGAGGGATACTCTTTGTGGGGGAAGGATGGGTGTGTGAAGTAGGGGTTTTGTGTGGGAGAGGGATGTGATCTGTAGGGAAGGGGTGTGATGTTTGGTGTGGTAAGTGTTTGAGAGGTGTGATGTGTGGGCCTTATAAATATGTGTATGGTCTGAATACGTGTGATACAGACGTGTAGGGGTGTTTTTGAAAAGATGGGCAAGCGCTGTGGGTGTATATGGGCGGGTGTGGGCGTGATGAGAACATGACGGGCGGTAGCGTAAAAGTATGGGCGGGTTGGGTGGGTGGGCGGGCGGGCGGACTGTAGAGGAGGATTGACGGCGTAGCGGCGAGGCACGGGCGGGAGGGAGGGAGGCAAGTGCAGGTTGTGTGTGTGTGCCCTGTCTGCCTCTACCACCACCACCATCACAGCACCATCACCTCCACCAACACCACCACCACCCTCCACCGTGAGTAGCCTTCACCTCTAGCACGTGTGTCCCTCGCGCCACGCTCCCGCTGTTTTCCCGGGTATCAATACGAATGTTACATATTATAGTGAAAAATAAGTGAAAAGCAAAAGGACGTAGTGATCAGCGCGAGCCCGGCTCCACCGCCTCTTATTTTGTTGCTCTTTCTAATTTTATTCTTTTGTAGGTCACAGTTAAGCTGAAATTAGTTAATATGACTTTCAGAGACTTGCTAGAAGTCGGAACCACGATAAAATATGCCGCTAAATTTGTGTAATTTGAGTTTTTCTTCATTTGACATTCTCAATTCCTATCGTCCCAGTGTCTGTTAGCTTCAGTCGGCTCGGCGGGCGATCCAATATGGCTGCCGTCCGAAGCCTTGAAAAGATGGCAGCTGGTCGACGCTTATTCTCTCTTCCTCTCTTTCGTCTTTTTGTCGGATAGCACTCCCAATTATGTTGACCAAAATATACACACAGCCATAATAGACTGGTGCAGTATAGCTTAGTGGTTTGCGTTTATCCTAGATTATTTCTTATATCTTCATTCCCTTTGTTTCGATCTGCTTGCCTCTGTACGAAATGAACGGATTTTACCTGTGTGTGTGTATTGGTGATAACTGAAAACCCGCACTACTTCCGACACACGACTCTTCTCGTAAGTTTTCATTCATACCTGCGAATACTTTGTGAAAATTGTCATTGAATTTCGTCGCGTTTTAATAGATATTGTAGTTACGTTATAAAAATTGAAATTGGTCGTTTTCCTTGTGGTGTGTTGGGAGTGGAGGAAGGAGGGGCGGGGGAGGTGTGGGGCGAGGTAGAGGGAGGGAAGGAGGGACTAGAGGACCCCCCCAAATATTCGGCGCGAGATACAGACAGACACTGCATCTCGACCCTTTACTGTGACTTAGACAAGACTTAAATATTTATGTAGTTGGACTGTAATGGAAATTAATGTCTTAATAGTACGAATTGAAGAATATTTATATACATTATAATCAACGAAATATAACCGGCATATTCACTAACTTTAAAAAAAATAAACATACTATTCTAGGTATACGGATGTTACACTTAATATTGATAGTGTCATAATGCCATTATATGTAAAGTTAATGTCATAACTTTACATATTGCACAATGTATTTAAAGGCCATTATTTTGTACTAATTCAATATATGTACTTCGATGGTTAATAGTAGCAATTTATTGATGTTTGCAGATCAAAGTCCAATTGAGAAGCTAATTAACAAAAAAAATATTTCAACATGAATGTTTGAATGAAAAATGTTTGGCGAATTTGTGATGAAGAAGAAGCCGCAGCCATGAACTGAACATACAGTCCTTGGGACAACTGGCAACGCGTCGACCTGGGACAGTAGCGACCATATTTTAAATATTGTCTAATTATTTTTATGAAGAAATTGCACACTGTTTTAAAATAAATATTTTATATGATAGCCCAGCACAGTTCCACATTTTCTGCTGGAATATGAAATTAAATTGGGTGATACGAATGGCTATATAATTCGGTAAAAGTTGTAATAAGTGCCGTCTAGCAATTAGATACTAGCCTGGGGCTGAGTGTGGCGGCCGTCTGCCTACCACACACACACGAAGCATAAGAAAACTGCTCTACACCATATGAAAATACACCGTAACTTTGCGATTTCTCATTCTCTCTTTTGACACTTCCTTTTTCAATATCTATTTTGAGATAACTCATCATATGAAGGAATAGTTGTAGATGTTAAAATACAAATCAATCACTGAACAATGGATAATGTACTTCAAATTGAAATGACAATTTTAAATTTTTGATTAAATTCATATTAATACTCCGTTTGGGCAAAGTTAAAAGTTTCGGGTGGTCGGGGGAAGTAGCCTGACGATATGCGGACGCGGTTAATAACCAAATCATCAAAATACTGCCTCTTCTGCCACCGGTTAATTTTTAAGGAATTAAAATAGTTAACATATTATATAGGTTATGAACTGCAAATTTCGTTATTGTTATAGTCACCAAGCACAATTATTGAAACTGGTGGTTAAGAGAAACCTACGGAGGAATAGAAATGCAGCAAGTGAAAATATGCTTGTCTATAGTGTCTTGACAGTCCCAGTACTGGGGCAGGTCGTCACGAACAAAGGGCCTGTTGTGCTGTGATTTTTATCCCATGAATGTACAGAAGTATAGGAGGATCTCACAAAGATCTTCACCTGATGATTAAGTACACTAACCTTACCTGGGTGGGTAGGTCAGGTCAGATAAAATTAGGTTAGCGTTTGGGTGGTAAATCTTAAGCCTTAAGGTATAAACTGGGACTTGATTTTCAGGTTGTACGTCTAAGAAGGGTAAAAAAAATATATATAGAGTATATTTTATATATATATATATATATATATATATATATATATATATATATATATATATATATATATATATATATATTGTAACAATGTTTACACTACGGCCCTTGTAACTGCAGTCATCCAAATATGCAGTAATTAACGTAGTCTAATACAGTAGTTTTCAGATCTTTTATTTTAAGTGATACTTAAAGATATAGCGTCAGTGTCACTACTTAACGTTTTACCTTGTCTGTATGTTAGCGTTTTCAGTGCCACCACATGTCTGTACATTTACTTTGGCATTTAAATTCAATTTCATACAATTTGTGATAAAAGAGCGACCGTTCCATCGAAAATATAACACCCAAGTTCGCCTGATATGAAGTGTTCCTCGTTTTTATCAAGATTGTAAACTGAAGATTAATGATACTCACTATTAACTAGGGGACGACGGACACTGACATTGTTTTCATACACAATGAGCAGCAACGTTGTAAGTACAGTGCGTTACACACACTGGTCCTTACAATTCACCTACCAAATACTGTACTATGCGATGTTTTGTTAAATGTCTTTCCTTGACTTGTAACATCCCTCTAGTTTCAACAACAACACACACACACCATTATAAATAGATACCACATTTAATGTTGACAGCTCATAACTGTCAAGCGTGCATCAAACAAATATACTTATTCATTTCTTGAAACTAATTCCATTATGTAGAACAATTCATGATCTCAGATCTGTTGTAGATGATCACATAAAGATTAGGAACCTCTACTTATAACTAAATGCGAACTTAGTGTAACCAAACCTACCCACCCCTCTTCCTTCAGCATTGGTTGTTTGTTCAGCAGGTGAAATAAGAGGGGTGCCAAATCTTCATGAGACAGACACCCTTAGTATTCAACTCGTGTAACCTAAAATTCACCACATTCGTCAACTCTCGGTAACCTAGAACTCGCGCTACTAGTGTCGTATTGCATCGGTTGTTTATTCCCAGCCAAATACTCTTATATAGTGTTTGTTCCCAGCACGATGACGTCATCTGTATTCCCTCCATTATTAACAAGAGAATAAATAGGTCTCATCTTCATTTGCTGAATCAAATTTCTAATTAAAATTACGACTCTAAAAAAAATGCTGAACTTAATCTAGGGAAGGGAAGCAGCTGTTGATGGGGAGAGGAAAGCATTGTTCTTGCGAGAAAAAAAAAAACCTTTAATTTTTATCTTACCTCAACCAGAATGTTATGTACAGTACTATACTAACAACTTCTAGTGGAGCTGGTGAATACAGGTACAGTAGTTGATGCAGGACACCGGTATCCTACTGTACAAACAATAATTGCACATCAACCGGGATTTCTTGAAGACTGATGTTTTTTATAAACATTGAGATGCGTTAGGTATACACATGGGAAATATAGAAGCATCAAGTTTCTAATTTCAACTTGGAAAACAAATCACGGGTGAACGACAATGGTAACTGCCGAAGTACTGTACAAGTACTTAGCGGACACCCGGAGCACAGTGAGTGAAATACCTGTACTGTACAGTAATAGAAAACTGAATACTGTACTTCTTTGGTGGTGCTCTCCCAAAATGTTATAAATGAGGACAAAGCCTATCTTTTCTTTTTTTTTTTACACTGGACACATCAGATGGACTACATAAGGTTTGACAAAACAAAACAAAAATGACGGATAAAAGAAAAAATAGACAAACTGATCGTGAATGCTTTAGAATGGTTAAAAAAATCTGAAACGTTGTTGGGATGGATAATTTTTTATGTTTTAATTATCAGATTAAATAATCAAATACTGTACAGTACTGTACTTACCCGTAACTCAAGGAACAAACTCCAGGCTAAAGTAAGCACAATGGTCCATATCCTGATGTATTGGTGAAAGATGGATCATATAGTGTTACAGCTGCTGTAAACCAATGTGGCTAATTTTAGGACAACAGGCTGACATTGATCGTTAATATGAAATTGGTTAACTGCTAACTTTAGAGTATGTAAATCATGTAAACAAAAATGTCGGGAACTAATACTGTATTTATATATGGCATTTATCATTTCAGAGGCAGAATGTCTTCAGGTGGTGAGCCACCCACATCCCAGGCATTTACGCCTTTTTGGATTGCTGGGCCAGGCTCTCCATCCACACCTGTGGTCGGAAACCCAGTGGCCAATCCTGTTCCCAGTAGTGACTTGGGAACACTGGGGGCTGCAGGAGTAGCTAGCACAGTGCCACCAACTATGTCACAAGATATCACCACTATGGCCAATGCTGTTCCTCATGATGACTTCACAAATGGTCTCCCAGAGACACAGCCACCACAACAGCCTCAACAACCAGGGGTTTGTATCTCCCTAGACATGATCTGTGGTCATCAGAATTTAAGAGATTATTCAAATATACAGTACAGTACTGTACTTGGTATACAAATTCAAGTTTAGTCGGGTAAAGAGGAAAGGCACTACTGAATAATTTCTGTATACTGTAATGACAAAAAGCTTATCAAACTAAAGAATAATACCTTTATTGCACAATAGCCGAACCCACACGGGGTAATAATATACTGGACTTAGTTCTGTCGAACAGAGAAAACCTAATTAGCAATGTCGAGGTAGGGGAACGAACTTGCAAACAGCGATCACAAATAAATTCGATTCCAGTTAGATTTTCAGGGCAGACGTAAGGAAAATTCCACTAAAGTACCAGATTTCAGAAGGGCAAACTTTGACAGTTTAAAGAGGCAGCTGAGAGAGGGGGTGTCGCGCTTAGCTGTGAACCTGACAGATGACACCGACCTGATAACGAGATCTGAGATTGCCGAGTTCCACGACAATTTAAATAGTGAGTTACTTAATGCACAAAGGCAGAACATACCATACAAAAAACTCAGATCAGACAACAATGACCCTAAATGGATAAATAATTATTTAAAGAACATCATTGGCCAAAGGAAGGCTATAGGTAGAAGGATAAATCGTGGCGAAATTCACCTCCGGGACTATTATAGGGTATTGGCGAGTAGGGTTAAAACCGAGATAAGGAAAGCAAAGAGGAATAATGAGGTAAGGATAGCAAGGGAGGCGAAGACAAACCCCAAAGGATTCTACCAAATGTATCAAACTAAAACACGAGAAAAGATTGGACCAATACGGTCAGACTTCGGCGAGCTCACTGATAACAACAGAGAAATGAGCAATAATTTGAATAATTATTTTTCAACAGTTTTCACCACCGAAAATTTAAACATGATACCCGAGGCACCGACTCTATTCAGAGATAGTGAAGAAAACAAATTAAGTGAGATAGTAGTGACTAGTAACGATGTTAGTAAGCAAATAGACAAACTAAAGTCTAATAAGTCACCTGGTCCCGATGAGATATTTGCCAGAGTATTAAAGGAATGTAAGGAAGAGCTTAGTATGCCCTTAGCAAAGTTGTTTAACATGTCATTAAAAACAGGTGTAGTACCAGAATCCTGGAGGATAGCGAATGTAATACCGATTTTCAAGAAGGGGGATAGATCACTATCCTCTAACTACCGCCCAATCAGTCTAACATCAATAGTAGGCAAATTACTGGAAGCAATCATTTCAAACTCTATTCGAAATCACCTGGAGAAGCACCGATTGATCAATGATTCCCAGCATGGCTTCACAAGCGGACGTTCTTGTCTAACTAATCTATTAACATTCTTTTCATCAGTTTTCGAATCGGTGGACGAGGGGCACAATTATGATGTGGTATATCTCGACTTTAGCAAAGCCTTCGACAGAGTCCCCCACGAAAGACTAATTAGAATGGTAGAAGCTCATGGCATCAAAGGTGACATCCTTAAATGGATTAGGGCGTGGTTACAGGACAGGAAACAGCGAGTGAGCATTAACGACACTAAGTCCCATTGGAGCAACTTCACAAGTGGAGTTCCCCAAGGCTCAGTACTTGGACCATTATTATTTATTATATACATAAACGACATAGATATCGGCATTGACAGCGACATAAGTAAATTTGCTGATGACACTAAAATAGGACGTGTTATCAAATCTGACGAGGACTCGGCAAAACTACAGGAAGATCTAAACAAATTTTTCGAATGGTCTGAAAAATGGCAGATGAAATTCAACGTCGACAAATGTAAAGTACTCAGTATAGGAGATGTAAACAGGGAAACCAGATACCAGATGAACAACGATGCCATAGAGAAATCCGACTGCGAGAGAGATTTAGGAGTAATGATAAGTAGGAACCTTAAGCCAAGTAAACAATGTGTTTTTGCTCGTAACAAGGCTAATAAAGTACTTGGGTTCATACAAAGGAGTGTTAGTTACAAGACTAGCGAGGTCATCCTAAAACTGTATCTTGCTCTTGTGAGACCACACCTGGATTACGCAGTTCAGTTCTGGTCACCGTATTACAGAATGGATATAGAATCCTTGGAAAGAATTCAGAGGAGAATGACAAGACTAATCCCGGCATTAGGAACCTTGAGTATAGAGACAGGTTAAAGCATCTTAATTTGCACTCCCTTGAGAGACGTAGAGCGAGGGGCGACCTGATAGAGGTGTATAAGTGGAAGGCAGGGCTAAACAAAGGGGACATTACAAAGGTACTCAAACTATCCAACCAGGAGCGAACTCGTAGCAATGGTTTTAAATTAGACAAATTTAGATTTAGGCGTGAAATAGGTAAACACTGCAGTTTCCTCCATTCTTATGTTCTTATGTTCTAATAGGTAGTGTATCTCACAAAATCAACTTTTCTAAAATAAAATACTTTATAGTACTGTTTGTTTAACTTTAGAACTTAGTAGGCATTCTAGTAAGAATTAAATACTGTATTGTATAAATCAGTCATCATATTGAATAGAAAAATAAAGCATCAGTTGAGCAGAATTTGTGTTAGAACTGACAGTAGAATGAGTAACTGTTGCAAGTATTGAGATAGAATACAGTAACGGTGTTTTATGTTGCAATGGTTTGAGTCCTGGTATGATGCTTTATGTGGAGATATTGAGTGATTTGAAGATAGCAGTGGAATTTGCAAAAGATCTTAGCTCAATGAGAAGAGAATCTGAGTGAGTAAAAATAAACTATTATAGGGGCAATTTCAACATTTTGGGTAAATTTCAGAGATGGTAATTAGTTTAACCTTTGGTTGAATAAACAATGGCTGAAAATGCTGAAAGTGGGTTGGTCTCATAGGCATGAATGTCCACTAGGGACAGAGTGGATGCAACACACATTATATGAAGTCTTCTTTACCTAAGTAGACAGTGGCCAGCACTGCACTTGATAACCATCACTTCAACTTGTAAAGTCAAGCACCAATGTACAGCTGTGTGACCTGAAGGTGGTCAAATATAGTAACCTTGTGTTTACTTAGCTGCTGCTACCCATACAAAAATTGAACACTGTGTATGTATTCGTTGGTGAATAATGCATGAGAATACAGTATTGCAAGAGCTGTGTTTACCACATGTATAGTGAAGTGGAAATTGTGATATCAGATAGCTAAAATTAAGCACAAGGAAGAGCTTAAAAGAGAGCCATCAGATGTACTGTATATGGTTAGGTTTGTAAAAATGGGTGACACAGCTTCTCTTCTGAGTTGAAGAGAAGGATAGAAATAGTGTACTGTGTACAGACAGGATTAAGGAAACTAGAGGAAGGTACTTTGCAAAAGTTATTGTACTGTACTCTGAAAGGATTACTGTACCTGATAAATGAAGGAATATGTGAAGAGAATGCATGTAGAGAAAATGGCTGAAAAAATTCTTCATGTGGGTAAGTGAGAGTAGGTATACTGTACCATTATGTAAAAGGACTCCATAAAAAGGAATGACAGAAATAGGGTAATGAATGTGATGCAAAAGAAAAGATTTGGATGAACCACCATTCCTCCAATATTAGGAGGACGGTTTTTCTATATGGTTACTCATATTATTGAATTTTCACAGCCTCCAGAACCTCAAACTCTAGTTGAAGCAGCACCACAACCAGAACCCACCCTAGAAGCTGCCCAGGTGCAGTCTACCCCCACTGAAGTTACAGTAGATGGCAACACTCAAGCATGTTCTAGTGGTGCGCCAACTAAGTTCTTCCACACTAATGTTGAGGAGGAAGAGGAGAGTATCTTGGAAAAACAGAAGAAGAAGAACAAAGTGCAACGAAGAAGACTTTCACCATCCCATAGAGAAATGATTATTGATCTTGTATTCAATGAGAAGAAAACATCCAGAGAGGTTGGTAAAGGGTTGAATACTTGAATTTTTTAAAATGAGCTTTTAGTCTTTAATTGAAGGATGATAATGCCATTTCCATACTTTGTGTTTAGTCTGATGTGTATGAAAGTTTTTATTTTGTATACTTTTGATTTTTATTGCAAAAGTATTTGTATAATGTTACAATGGAATCGATAAATTTTACTTACACAGACTTTGTAACTGTCTTTGTTTGGTTCTTCATACCGCTACTATCTAACTCCTATTAATTTTTCTTGGGGAAATTAGAAGAAGGGAAATGGGTACTGTACAGTACTGTATTTAGAAAATGTAGCTTGGTAACTGAAATACTGTGGTTACAGTACAATACTTTACTTTCCAATATTTTAGGTTGCACGGTACATGGGATTGCCACAGTCAACAGTTATGTCCGTTGTACAAGTTTTTAAGAAGGAACATCGCATACACAAGAAGACAGCTACGGGTCGTAAGCGTCGCCTCACAACTGCCCAAGAGTTCCAGCTATTTGAAATGTCACAAGAAAGAGAGAACATATCAGTCGATGAAATCCGTACACGCTTCCTACAATTATTCCCAGAATTTGGCCATATATCAAAAACTACCATCTACAGAACATTAGAAAGAGGAAAGGTATGTTGCAGAGATTGTGAAATTTATAGTCTCTTAAAGGAGAGGTGATGAGTAAAGGGTATTGGATGGTACTTAAATGCTCTCATGAAGTTGTGTGAGCATGGAAGGAAGTTAACATAATAAATAGACTTCATAGAAGCACAAGGATGTCAAATAGTACCACACTTTGTTGTTTTCATGAATTACTGTGGAATATCTTATTTACTAGAACTTCCTTTAATCATTTTGATTATATATGTTATTTTTTCACAAAGAGTATACAGTACAAGTACTTAATACACACCTCTTCAAAATAACCTCTGTCATAGATAAATTATACATCCTAAATTTTCCTTATCTCTGAACTCAGAATTTGAACAAAACCATTTCATATCACTGATCAATACTGTTAGTACAATTTATATTGTATGGTCATAATATGACGGCTTTGATGTCTATTATAATAATAATAATAATATAAATAAGTAATATAATAATAATAATAATAATAATCAAATACCTTAAGGACTTCACGTGTTTATGAACAGAACTCTGTATAGTACAGTAGTCATTTTCTCTTAGTAGTAGAATAGATAAGTAAGAAAACATGAACTTGACCTAAGAACTGTTGTAATCACTGTAAATGTAATTAGTCCAACAACTTGTCTTGCAGCATTCTATATTTTACATTTTTTATTTTGCATTTATAATTTCAGAAAGGGTTAATAGGTATGGATCCTCCTCCTGAGCGTTATTTAGAACCAATTGAGCGTTACTGGGGACCCAAGAAAAGGGGAAGACCCAAAGTAAGTGTTTCTCTGTGGTTTACTTATTAAGGAGTTTCAATCCATAATTACATAATTACAAAATTGATTTGGTGTCTTCCTCATATAGTATTCTGAATTAATTACTGGATCTGGGACAAAGATCATTGAAGGTCATTATGATAAAGTTCTGTGATCTTAATGAGGCCATTAATTCTTATGGTGCTATTAAATTATGTTTGTATGACATAAGGAATATTATGTAAGCTTTACAGTCACAGTTTTCTGTTTTATATGGTGTAGATTTTATTACATCTCATGTCTTAGATTCTTATGAAGTACTGTATGGCAGTTTTCTCCCATTTTATTGACATTAATGTATATACCTATGAGGTATACAGTTAAATTTGCTTAGGTTACGGTAACCTAAGCAAATTTGACTTTTCGTAATGACATGAGCGATAAATAAAAATCCTCAATGTTAGATATTATTTTTACCCTATCATGCTTTACCGACACTCCAAGTGTAGGTACTGTACTTCTTCCCCTTGCATCTAGATTCCGTACATCACTGTCAAATAATAATGTCAGTTCAGTAATTGCCTGAACTTTGTAAACCCCTACATTTGCTTCCTTTGACTCCATTTGCTCTCCGTATGTTTCTTAATGCACCGATTACAGTACAATACTTTCATTCCTTCTGTTGCTCTATGATTCAGTTAGTCACCTACAGGTCCATTATTTAAACACATCCACATTTTGTTATCTGAATCACTTCGCTTCTTCCATTCCACCTCCTGGTATTTACAGTATGTCTTCCTGTATTCCTTCTCTATGTACTTCCCCTCCAAAAAAAAAAATAATAATAATAATACAGTATTTACTTTCTCTTAATAAACTCTCTTCCAAACTCACTCACCAACATTTGTAACTTTGCTTTATGAGTTACCTACTGGGGGAGTATTAGCTTGGAAAAAACAACTGATTCATCTCTCATTTACCAGTTGTATTTTCATTGACCAAATTTGCAATGTAAAGGATACTACCTTCCAGTATGTGGCTCTGTCCTTAAAGGGTTACCAAAGAAGTTATGAGTGCATTTTGACAATGTAACAAAGCAGTTCTTATTACCATGCTCTTCATTAGTTATAGCAGCCAAAAACTATTGTGACAATACTGTAATTACTATTCTTATCTTAGTGCAATAAAAAAAAAATATTATTGAAAATAATGTAATTATTCATATGATAGGCAGGTAATCTTTGATTACCTCAGGGATTTGTGACTGAATTGCCAGTTCGGAGGGTGCTTCGAAATTCCATACCAGTATAATAATATCCAGTTGCCTGTGCAAAACTTGTTTGGTGGTAGGAAGGGCATCTAGTGTAAACCTTTCTTAAATTTTGCCTGATAGCAACTGGGCCACCTTACCATTAGGTAATCATGGCTAACCCATGTAATGTGGAAAATTTCCACAAAATGGTGATATATGATATGAGGAAGACTTGTGAATCCTTTATACATTACCATAAGTTTCCCCCCTATAAAGAAAACCACCATTATAGTTCAGTTGTAAAGTAACTGCAATATTGTACTAACTGTTAAAAGTTTAATTATGTCTAGGTGGCTTATAAGTTTTGAGTCTGAATCACTGCAAGAAACCAGAGCCTTGTCAGTTCTCCCTATTTAGTTTGGAATATGGAATTATTAGGTGATCCCTGCTCATAATATACAGTTCCTGTGGAGGCCATTGGCTAGTGTTCAAATGGTGACATGAGGTAGAGGATAAGGCTTGTGATATATTACTGAAATAATCATAATACTGTACTGTAGTGTACTTCAGATGATCTATGTAATATTTTTCATATAAGTACAGTAGGGTATTAGCATATACCCCCCTGTACAGTATAAACTGTACACTAAGTTAGAAGCAAAAATGTCTTCAAAAAATGTTACAGTAACAAGTGTGCCATGTTTTATACAGTATAGGTATTATTATGGAAACCTTTCTTCCAGAAGACAGGGACAGGTTTAGAGACATCAGCCAATCACAGCTTACTTGAGCCAAGTGTTAGTATAATGGAAGAGACGGGACCTATAGACACTACGTCAGATAAAGATATCAGTAGACAAAGACGGTCTCTCTCCATTGCTGAAAGAGAGATGATTATCAGGTAGGATATGGATTGAGTATTTTTGTGCATGGTTTCATGAATTTATATTGTGTGTGCAAAAACATTTTCCAGTTTGCTGCCATTCATTATCTCTTACTATATTACCAGATGTGTTCAGTGATGTTTCCCTTCCACATAAGGGCCCCAAGATTTCCCTCTGGTTAATATATGTTGCTTCATACAACTTAGTGTCACACATCAGTACAGTACTGTAGTATGTTCATCCCCAAAACCAGTGAATTATAGATTATAGAACAGAGTGGAATACAGTCCTGTACTGTAAATTAAAATGTTGTATAATGCCTTTTCTCTTCTCACAGTCTTTTCTTCAATGAAAATAGAACAATTAGAGAAGTAGCAGACTTCATGCACTTGGCTAAATCAACAGTATCATCAGTTGTACAGGTGTTCAAAAAAGAACATCGAATTCAACGAAAAACCTCAACGGGTCGAAAGAAAAAGTTATCAGATGAACACGAACAAATGATAATGGATATTCTCTCACACAAAGAAGATATCACAATAGAAGAGACAAGAAATAGATTCCTCTCACTTAATCCTGAAGTTCCTAATATCAGCAAAAGTACAATATATAGAATAATGGAAAACTGTCAGTCTAAATTGGTAAGTAATAAAGTTTTTACCAATAGACAGATGCTAGAATTATTTACTGTAAAAAGGAAAGGGTAGAAAATTTTTTTGAGAAGAAAAAGGAAAAAATACGGAATATCATTTAAAGTGAACCATATGATCAACTGTTAGACTGCATGAGGTACAGTTGACATCATTGGAAGTTTCCTTACTTTCTATGAAGCCAACTGTACATTTCTAGTTTAGGTTGGATTAAGTTAAGGTAGTTTAGATTTGGTTAAATTAAGTTGGATTAGTTTAGGAATTTATTTTTTTTGACTAATTGATTTTCTCATAAGGATTAATGCAATCGTGTTGACCCATTCAGGTAAAAGTGCATTATAGTTAACAACACAGCTACAAAGATAACAGATGGATCGATACATGTACCTGTACATTTCTGTATATACGTACAGGTACTCCTCGACTTACGACCACCCAGACATACGACCGCCCCAGTCGTACCAAATTTGTTTTCAAATTACGTATTTTCGAGTCCCGACGTTAGCGAGTGCGCTGTCAACTGACAAAATTTTCGTTTGTAATTCCATTTAAAATGGCTGTCAAGCTTAAAAGTGAAAGTTTCGTGGTGATGCGAAGAAAAAGAGACACCCATTTTAGATTTTCTATGTATTATTTTTGCATTTTTGACTTATGGCCAATACAGTGACCCCTCGGTTAACGAACTCAATCCGTTCCAGAAGGTCGTTCGTCAACCAAAAAGTTCGTTAACCGAAACCATTGTTTCAATGGGTTTTTGGGTAATTGGTTCCAGCTCACCGAAAATTTCCTAAATTCAACAAAAATGGTAGAAAAGTTCACTTACTTTGAGGTGTGTATGTAGAAGGCTCCTGGATGATGATGATGATGATGATGGGATTTAGAATGGGGGTGGAGGAGAAGGAAGAAGAGAAGGCATTGGGGTGGAAGAGAAGTCACCCCATGGTGCCATTTCACCCATAAAATTTTAGCTCTCTTGGTGAAATTCAAGATTATTTTCTTTAAATCAACACTGCACTGCATTATATATTGTCAATATGTAAAATATATTTCAAAATGACCAATAATTTGCTTGGAAACAGAGAAAAAAGCGTTTAGTTGAAGAGAGTCTCAAGCAAGATGTTACCTCCAGTGAAAACAGAGAGAGACTAACGCCTGTTTGCTGTGTTAAGAGGCTGGATGCCGCGCATTAAACTAGTCACTTTACCTTCAATTATGTTCAATAATTGTTAAAATGACTAAAAAATTGAATATTAAACTTTTAAAATTATTGAATAGTATAAACTTGATATTTACTAAAGTAGTAAGGAATTTAAGCCCTAGAACCGATTAATGTATTGGCGGACTGATACTAAAGCTGGTTGCCCGGTCAGTGCAAGCGAAAACATGTTGAGGTCGGTTCGTAAGAAATTCGTTAACCAAATTTTTGTTCGTTAACCGAATTGAAGATCCTTATGGAAGGCAGTTCGTTAACCGAAATTTCGTTAACCGAGGCGTTTGTTAAACGACGGGTCACTGTATATATATATATATATATATATATATATATATATATATATATATATATATATATATATATATATATATATATATATATATATATATATATATATACACCTAGACCCCGACTTACGACGGGGTTAGGGACCCAAATCCAGGTCGTAAGTCCGACATGGTCGTAAGTCCGACATAGATAAAAAAAAAATTTTTTTTAATAAAAAATCTACAATGAAATACAGTACAGTAAAAGTAATGAATAATGATGAATTGATACAGTACAGTGAAAGTAATAAATAATAAGGAATGGATACAGTGTGACTGAGCACTTAACCTTTAATGTAGTCAGCTGAATGCACATGGGGCCCCCATAATTTTCTAATTATACATGGAGACTACATTAACTGGAAACGTTTCGGTATAGAAAATGCGTGTGTCATTTAAAAAAAAATTTTTTATCTATATCTGAGGCGGTCGTAAGTCCCGACGGTCGTAAGTCCACGTAGTCGTAAGTCGGGGTCTAGGTGTATATATATATATATATATATATATATATATATATATATATATATATATATATATATATATATATATATATATATATATATATATATATATATATATATATATATATATATCATTAGCCCAATAAAGCAAGAGGACTTCTACATATAATCAACACCTCACCCCACCAGGATTCGAACCCACGATCTTATAACTGTGACCGGGGAACGTTACCTCTGGGCCCCACCAGGACACTAAAAGCAGTCCTAGACTCTCTTATATTTCACCCGTGCCGCTTAGGTGATCAGAGTAATGTTTTACCAAATCTGGCTTCGAAACACGAGGAGCCTGGTGGGGTGAGGTGTTGATTTTATATATATTTTATATGTACAGTTGTACCCCGCTTTACACGGTCAATTGAACCCACAGGGTACCGCGTTAAGTGAACAACAGAACATATGGGATTAATTCCAATAGAGACTGGCCCGACCCCCAAACTCCACTTTTTGACGACACACAACTATGTTGTAGTAAAAATGTTATCTTAACTTTATGATGGTATGCACACACAATTAATAATTAAGAGAAATATCAATAATATTAGGTTTTTTAACACTTACATTAGTAGAAAAGATGGCTGGGCAGAGGGCAGATTATTGGCCCTCACCTGTATCACTTGTATCAATTGTATCACTATCCACCACAGAGGCTTGCAGGGCCTCTTTGTCAAACCCCTCAAAGTCCATATAAGTCCATATGCTCACTATAATTATCACTATCACTGACTTGGGCCGGCTGTGGTGGGTGGCGGGTGAAGAACTCGGTAATGTTTTGATGACTGGGCGACCTTGTGCGCATCGTGCCCGCGCCGCTTCCTGCGTATATGAGTAGATGAACCGCGTTAAGTGAAAGTTCGGTTCTGGCGAGGCACCGCGTATATGAGAAATCGCGTTAAGTGAAACCGCGTAAAGCGGGGTAATACTGTATATATATATTGTGATAAAGTTGAATTTTTAATATTGTTTTTATAATTACTCTATATAATGTAGAACTGCTTAAAGGGATTGCACAAGATAATGATATACATGGTATTTTTGTTACAAAATATATGGATTAATAATCATCTCTGTAACTTATAACACGTGAATATAGTACAGTACAGTATTGTATTTGTATGACACAAAATACACAGATGCGTGTTCATTTCCACATCTCTAAATGGCATTTAGAGATGTGGAAATGCATGAATAGATTGATATCTCTGCAACTCAAAAAACCAAAACATGGATAGATAATCATCAGAACAAAATATAGGACTTGTTGAACAATCTTCATGATTCATTACAGATGGATAGCTGGATATCTCCTGAACATAGGCTTAAGTAGGTCGATAGACTTCTCTGTGATACAGGATAGATAACCATTTTTATGACATAAGATAATGGATAGATATTTATATCCTTTACACATGACAGGTGAATAAATGGATAATCCCATGTTAGAAATTAGGTAAGTAGATAGACATCTCTATCACAAAATAGGTGTGGACATGTCAGTGATTTTCAGCATACAGGTTAGTGAGACATGCACAGTGCAGTACACACCACACACAAGAAAAGAGAATATCTAAAGTGTAAGAGATCAAGAATCAACAGCTAATTCAATCTCTGTGGTTGTGAATAATTTCTGACTTGGGTTTTGCATTTGCAGAGAGCCAGATCTGATATGGAAGTGTTTGTTGGTACTTTCGTCCACTCAACGGAGGACAGTCCTATGGTTGTTCTTACCGACATGGTGATGGGGGTTCTCAACACCAAGGTAGGCTGCTGAGAGTGGAAGGTATTCCCTTTAACTTTGTCCTACAACATACTGTATAGCCTTGCTCTCTTTTATCACACACTAATTTCTGGGCAATACCTCAGCAATACTTCACCTGATGTACTTCAAATTTGTATCACACATGTCTTATCATTGTTCACTGAACTGCTATATTTAGAGATAATGTAAATTTGACTACTGTAATGGTACTAAAGATCATTGGCTATAACTTTAATATATTAAAGACCATTGGATATTACATTTCTTGATCATCATACATTAAGAGAAAATGTACAGTGAGATAATGAAGTATCTTCCTGGCTTTGGCCAAAGTATAATGAAACCTGGCTACCCAACACTGTGAATGGTGTCATTGGCGATCACTTTCCAAGGTTCCACAGGCCTGCCAACTTTATGGGCTCCACACATGCATCCAAATGTATCAAGAATATTTATAAAGTCACAAGTCACTGTCTTTATAATGTTTTACTTATCCAGTTTATTGGTATAATTTAGTGATAGTTGCTGAAAACCTTTCCAAAATTTAGTAACAGTAACAATAACAATAACTTAACCAGTTAGTTTTGCTTTATAGACAAATATATGAGGTAAAATGCTGCATTTCTTGCTTTTCTATCCACATTACTCCAGAAATCGTGGCATTCCTCTGGCTGTTTCATTTAAGAAGGCAAACACTAGGCTAGAATTCATATGCTACAAAATCTGATGCTGTGGACTCTTTCAAATTACCAGTAAATGTCACCTTTACTGCTGGTGCAAACTACAACTTGTATGATGGTTATGCATATTGCTAAGTATCATTTTCAGAACTTAAATATCCATTCTGCACAAACATAAAGAGGCATTAGGACACTTTCTTCAATATCCTGTCAGTAATTGTGTATGTCAGATATGTATTTTGGAAATTTCAGATCCATACCAAAAGGTTGTAACAAGGACTCATGCTTGTTGGTCTTAGGTTTAACATTTAAACTCTCCATTTACCTAAAACTGCAAGGCACTTGGGAGTCGGCCTTTTTTTCAATGGTCAGTTCTCAATGTTAACCATTTGCCAGTCTTATGGAAAATACTGTAGTCCTGAAATATCTGAATGCCTCATTTCAATTAATACCCATTCATTTGATATTAAATAGAGTCTTCTTTGCTGTCTTTGAAACCAAAAGTTTGCTGAAACTTTTATTTACTTTAAACATCCTGGAGGCTGACATATTTATGCTGGATACCTCTATCAGTTATATCTAACAGGTCTCTGTGGAGGTCCAGCAAAGGCCATCCCACATGGGTCCAGTGTTAGATGCAGGAAGAAATGGGATTTCCTGGAGAAATTGTAGGGCCACTCTGGAGAGCACCCTTCTCAAATCAACCAAAGCAACTATTGGCTCTGAGTCACATTGGTGAGGAGTAAGCATGCTACCAATGACATCCAGCTCAGATGAGGCTATGGTATTAAAGAAGAGATTTTTTTTTTCATTCTATTTTTTTTTAAATCTAATGTATTTTTAGTATTTGTATCATTATAATCTTTCCCTTAACAGATTGAATTTATGGAGAGTTTGGAGGAGCTGGATCACCTCAAGGCTGAGTATGGCTTCACAGACTCCAACATTCACTATATGACACCAAGGTGAGCTTATCCATGTGTATCCACTGTAAGTTGGACAGCAAAGCTGACTATTATTATAATATTGGTAAAAAAAATCCTATGCAAAATAGTTATATATTTATCTTTTCTTTGCAATGTGAATTTTTAATAAGATTGTGTGAATCATTAATATTTGTAAAGATATATTCAAAGATTTTCAGAAATCTTAATTCTGTACACTACCACAAGTTAAAATAAGAAAATGTGACTTTTTCACTGTGAGGAGAAAGAAAATATTTTCCCTCATTTCTGATTCAATGTGATCTCATTTTCATAAAACAGGTTTGATTATTAATTTGTAACTAATATGGTTTGTTCCCCATCACAGCCAGTTTATGATGCCAGGAATGATAGACACACACATCCATGCATCACAGTTCCCTAACAATGGTGTAGCTATGGACCTGCCGCTGCTTGAGTGGTTGCAAACCTACACATTCCCAACTGAAGCCAATTTCTCTGACACGCTTTTTGCCAGAGAAGTCTATAGTAAAGTAGTGGTAAGTGTTGCATTTATCACAGTAGAATCTCAGAAATCTAGAAACTACCGGGTAGTCATCTGGGAATCTCGGAAGCATGGCACCTTTGAAAACTAATAAAAAAACAAGAAAATAAATAATACACTTTTTTAATGCCATACATATGATAAATATTTAAAACTGAGATATGATTAAAATCTAGTCCAAAACACTTACAGGTACAGAATGTACTCATCATTTTTTAATGATTTCACAGTATATACAGTAAATGTATGTTGAACTTGGGAATTTTTTTCCTTAAAATATGTATTAAATTACTTCAGAATTACATAAAAAGAAATTTAATTAAAAGAGGAATAACTACTGTAAATGTATATACAGTATAACCCTTAACATATACTGGAATACTACACTTGTACTGTATACGAACAGAGATCGGGATACAAAATCTTATTGAAACATTAATATCTTTGTAAGACCTTCGCATGTTATTGTACGAACAAGTTACCTGTGCTTACACCTTATAGATCAGTAGAAGGATGAGGATGCCATAGCAAGTGAGAGCTTACGTACAGTACTGTACATGAAGTGAACAAGGAGTAAAGAAATAAAGAAACAAGAAAAAAATAGCAAGCAGCTCCTATCAATTGAACATTTAAAACTAATAGTTATTATGGTAAATGTGATATATTATTATGTAGGGTTACTAATGACTGTAGCTAAAGAATATTTTTGTTAGAATTTTTCTAATTCTTTTTTGTATTGAGAACAACTTGTTTTTATAGTAATATTAAAATGACAACCTTGCTGTATGCTCACTGGAAAATGTTAGTAACTAACCTTTTATTTTTTAAATGTACGTAAATAGTTACAGTGTACACAGTAGATTTTTTTTTATAATTTCCTTTAGGAACGACTGCTCAGGAATGGGACAACAACTGCCGCATACTTTGGAACTATCCACCTTGAGGGCTCCAAAATCCTGGCTGATGTTGTCCATGATAAGGGCCAGCGTGCTCTCATTGGTAAAGTGAACATGATGCGTAACTGTCCTGAATATTATAGGGAGCTCAGTGTGCAAGAGTCCATCAAAGACACAGAAGAATTCATCCGTTACATTAGAAGCATTCAGGTAAGGTTGTTTAAGGACAATTACAAGTAGTTGTAACTGTTGTATGCAAGAAGGTTTGAGTGTCATTGTTATGATTTATATTATAATCCAGGTCAGGGTCTCACAATTCTGTATAGTCAGCAAGTCTAGAGGTCATGCTGGGTACAATGCTGCCAGCGATGTTAACAAATGTGAAAAGAAAGTTGCCTGTAAATCCTCATTAGTATCAGGTATTTGTAGATTGAAAAATAAATGTTGCAGTTATGTCATTAAAAGATGTAATGTTTGTAAGAGTTCAGAAATGGTTACTGCTATCTTTGAAGAGTTGGGTGTCTGCCATACGGATGTTTATCATCTCGGGTTATCATCATCAATACAGTACAGAGTAGTTATAGAACGAGCTTATATATTTACAATAATTATTTTTTAATTAATTAAAACAAATAATAAAGTTTAAGTAAGCAATAACCTATTTTTAATTCTGGAGTTGGGTTAGGTAGAATTTAGCTTACTGGAGACAGCAACAGGGGGATTCATTAGCTTGCGGGAAACTGCAACTTCATATATAGAACGCAGGCTGATTTTTTAAGCCACTTTTCACCCAAGAAAGTGCTGCTTATATGCAGTAAAATACGGCACTTGCCTCTATATGCAACTATGGATTTTGCAGTATCCATGTTGCTTTTTATGGGACATCCTAACATAGGTCCAAGTTTGACAAGTTTCGGGGTACTGTATCGTAATTTTTATTTTTACACCACATTCCCTTTTAATGTCAGCCACAGTTTTAAGTGGGTCTTTGCTCAATCATAAGGTTCCTCTGAGTGTCTCGTCCTCCCTACCATCATTAAGGAAAACCAATGTCTGAGGTTCAAGGCCCCTACTTTTGGCTTTATAGTTGGTCTTGACCCATGCCCCTGGGTAGGGGACCCAAACCAGGTGCTACCATCCTTACCAGATGACCTGGAGCTCACATATGGCAGGGACACTACTCCTTGAAGTAGTCAGCAAGCTAACCACCTGTTACTGACTATTTTGAGATGCATAATGAATTAAAAATGCAACATGTTAATGTGAACTATTTTGGTCCCTTACGTATGACATGAGAATTGATTTTTTAATAAAGCTACCAGTATTATTAGCTAAGGATATGGAGCTACTGTATATACTGTACATGTAAATTTAGAAAGTACATATTGGATTTGAATAAGGATTTTTTTTTATATATTCATGATAAACTGTTTTACTGACAATTCTGTGGTTCTCTTTACAGTCTCCATTAGTACAACCAATCGTCACTCCTCGATTTGCTCCTACTTGTCCTGAAGATCAGCTAGCTTCATTAGGTCAACTAGCAGTTAGATATGGCTGCCATATTCAGAGTCATTTGTGTGAAACTCAGCCAGAGTGTAATTGGGTTAAAGAACTTTTTCCATGGGCTAAGTCTTACACAGATGTTTATGACAGCATGAGACTACTCAGTGAGAAGGTAAGTACTGTTTATATTATTGCATATATAGTCTATAGTCATCAACCAGTTAATAAAATTCTTTGTGGTAAAAAATTAAATAAAAAGATAGGGAACAAAGAAATAATTAAATTAAAAAGACATCAGACAAAAGCTACCTGTACCATATAATGAAATTTAATTAAGTTTTCAGTATGTTAAGTGCAACAAAGTAATTCAAGGATATACTCACTCTGTGCATGCCTCATATTAATGAACCATGAAGCTTCATTCCCTGCTTCATTTCCATATGCACTCCATCACATTGAACATGAGGTGTAGTAACACCTGAGCCATCATCTATTATTATACTCCAAGAACTGAACAACTTATTTCCTGACCCTCTAACTCTTCTTCTAACATTAGTTCTGCTCTCACATGACTTCTTCACAGACTCTTATTCATCATATATATATATATATATATCGCTGTAGGTGAGCGTGATCCAAGTATATGCTGATAACCACAAGAAAACACTAAGTTCCCAAGCGCTTTTGTGTAATTCACATCTTCAGGGGTGAGTACAGACTAAGGAATAATACTTGACAAGGCTAATATATACAGTAGAGGAAAGTGAGATCAAGTCCCTAGGGGACAGCAGGTGTCCACAATGTTCCAGTCATAAGGCAGTGACCCTTACTAATCTTCTTAAAAAAAAATAACAAATTGACCATGCCATCTCTAAGCACAGCAGCTGTCCGTAGTCAGGTCATAGGGTAAGATGACCCAACCTTTTCACCTGGTTACAAATCTTCTTAATCACAAAATTATCCAGTTTGTACATACCATTACTCAAATTCATGTTGACAGATTCGGTATGTTTATTGAGACTGGATTCTACAATGTTCCTACTGACAATTGAATGACAAGGTAATATTGAGGAGGCATTATCCCTGGCAATGCACTGCTTATTATCTCTCATATGAATGAACAGAGCATTGGATTTCTGGCCTGTCCTAACTCTATATTTATGTTGTTTAAGTCTAGTTATAAGATCTTTACCCATCTGGCTTAAGTAGAACATTACATTCCTTGCAAGGAACCTTGTAAATGCAGCCGCCTGCATTGTTGGGGGAGTTTTTAATTAACATTTGTTTTACAGTGCTTGAGTTTTTAAATGTCACATTAACGGTCCAGGTTTTCAGTTGTATAGGAATTTGAGAGAGATTTTTGTTAAATGGTAATACCAAGAGATCCTTATTGTCATTGGTTGGCTTAGGATCAGTTCTATAAAAAGATTTCTTAGTAATGTTAAGGCATTTGTCTATAAAAGACCTAGGGTACTTAAGGTTCAAGCCAATATTATAGATATGTTTATATTCCTCATCAATGAATTCCGGACTGCATATTCTTAGAGCTCGTAAAAACATTGATGAAAATACTGACTGTTTGACTCTATTATGGAGAGCAGAATAATAATGAATATATGAACACACATTAGTAGGTTTCCTGTAAATACTGAACTTAAAGGTGTTACCTATTCTGTGGATCAGACAGTCTAGGAATGGTAATTTGCAGTTATTCTCTAATTCCACAGTGAATTTGATCGAGGGGGCTAAGTTGTTAAGTTGTGGTAGTAAAGCTTTTAGGTCCTCATTACATGGCCAAAGACATATTACATCATCTACTTATCTAAACCAGACTGCTGAAGGTGGTAAAATATTACTTAATAGTTTCTTCTCAAAGAATTCCATATATAAGTTGATAAATACCGTTGAAAGCGAATTACCCATTGCCATACCAAATTTTTTAGCATTGTGGACACCTGCTGTCCCCTAGGGACTTGATCTCACTCTCCTCTACTGTATATATTAGCCTTGTCAAGTATTACTCCTAAGTTTGTACTCACCCCCAAAGATGTGAAAAGCTCTGAAAACCGAAAACAAATTTTTGTGGAGCAATTTTTTTTTGGGGGGGGGGGTATTAGCCCACCCGGGCACAGATCACTGACCCACATCGGGGCCTGGGGGTTGAAAATGTAATAGTAATAATAATAATAATGATAATACAGTAAAAATAATAATTATTCATAGTAAATAAAATTTTTAATAAAAACTACACAAAAATAAAATAAGAATGAAACAGTAATAATAATAACAATAATACTGTAATAATAAAATAATAATAATAATAATAATAAAGAAATACAAGAATGAAAAAAAGATCAAAAGTGAGAAACACGACCTAGATATGAATTATTATTATTATTATTATTATTATTATTATTATTATTATTATTATTATTATTATTATTATTATTATTATTATTATTATTATTATTATTATTATTATTATATTTTAGCCCCTAGGCCCCAATGTGGGTCAGTGACCTGTGCCCGGGTGGACTGATCCCTGTAAAAAAAAAAAAACTAACCATTCTGAAAAACGAAAAATTCCAAAAACCGAAATGCATCTGGTCCCAAGGATTTCGGATAAGGGATTGTCAACCTGTATATATATACAGTAATACCCCGCTTAACGCGGTTTCGCTTAGCACGATTTCACGTATACGCGGTGCCTCGCCAGAGCCGAACTTTCACTTAACGCGGGTTTTTTCCACGTATATGCGCAGTGTCCGGCTCGAGACGCTATTTTTAGATTCGCGCCACCCGCCTGCCTGCCTGCTCTCGCCTCTCCCTCCTCCCTCCCTCCCGCCTCCCTCCGCCTGGGCAAGCCGTACTGTAAGGTTGCGCAGTGTGTGTGTCTTCTACTAATGTAAGTGTTACACCTAACTTTTAGTTTTCCTAACCTAACCTTTATTTTTCCTTACTTAACCTTTATTTTTCCTAACCTAACCTCTTCTATATTACTTGTTTGTTCATACCATCATAAAGTTAAGATAAAATTTTTACTACAACATAGTTGTGTGTCGTCAAAAAGTGGAGTTTGGGGGTCGGGCCAGTTTCTATTGGAATTAATCCCATATGTTCTGTTGTTCAGTTAGCGCGGTTTTCACTTAACACGGTACCCTGTGGGTTCTATTGACCGCGTTAAGTGGGGTACTACTGTGTATATATATATATATATATATATATATATATATATATATATATATATATATATATATATATATATATATATATATATATATATATATATATATATATATATATATATATATATATATATATATATATATAATACTCAACCACACGACGCGTAAAGTGAACAACATAACATATGGGATTAATTGAAATAGAGACCGGGCCGACCCCCAAACTCCACTTTTTGACAACACACAACTATGTTGTAGTAAAAATTTTATCTTAACTTTATGATGGTATGCACACACAATTAATATAGAAGAGGTTAGGTTAGGAAAAATAAAGGTTAAGTTAGGAAAAATAAAGGTTAGGTTAGGAAAACTAAAAGTTAGGTTGAACACTTACGTTAGTAGAAGAGATGGGTTGGCATACGGGGATGGAGGCTGGTTCCGAGGCAGAGGGCAGGCTACTGGCCCTCAGGTGAGTCACCATCACTGTCATCCACACTTGTCAGGGCCTCCCTGACAAATCCCTCAAAGTCATCTTCACTGTCTCTACCTCTGTCACTATCACTGGCTTGGGCTGGCTGTGGTGGGTTGCGGGCGAAGAACTCTGTTATGCTTTGCTGACGGCTGGTGTTTATGTTATCGTGATAACCTTGAAATAGGGCTCCATAGTCTGCAACAGCTGGGTAGTGAAGATTTCATACCTGTTTGTGTCATGGTTCGCGGAAAGGAGGAGCTTGATTTTCTCGACACACTTGATGGCACCCCTAACATTACTGTGGGATAAGCGGTGTTCTTCTTGGGATGACGCACCACCTGCCTCTTCACTGACGTCATCATCTACCATCTCGTCGGTGTCACATCAGGATCCCTTATCACCTCCAGGATGTCGTCGTTGGTGGTCTCGGAGAAGCCTGCAGCTGTAACACTCTGCGCAGCTTCTCTGGCAAGGTCCACTGCTACTGTAACAGTCTGAACCTCACCAGTCACAGATTGACTCTGCCTTACGCCCGGAATGCCTTGCAACACATGTCTCCATGCGTGACGAACAGTTGCTACAGACAGCTGATCCCATGCCTCCACCAAGAAGCCCACAGCTTTCTTGATGTTAAATATTCTCCAGAATTGTTTGAAAAGTATTTTTTGCTCTGCCAACTGTTGATCCTCGTTTTCTTCGCTCTTGCTATCGGTGGTGGTGTCACTCAGGTTACGCAACTCTTCCCTGGTGTTGGTGTAGTCGTTCAGGAGCTGGAATTTTTTTGTTGAGAATGCAGCTTTTACATTGCAGATTAACTCTTGGTCCATGGGCTGTAATATAGATGTAGTGTTGGGAAGAAGGAAGACCACTTTTACGTTGGGGTGACGATCTAACATTAGGGGCGAGTGTCCTGGTGCGTTGTCCAGCAGCAACAAAATCTTGAATGGCACATTCTGTTGCTCACAGAATTTCTTTACATCGGGAACGAAACAGTCATCAAACCAGGAGAGGGACAGTGTAGAGAACATCCACGCCTTACGTGCGGTCAGCCAGTGGACATTTAGCTTGGTCATGTCCATGTTCTTGTAGGCGTGAGGCTTGCGGGCTGTGTGGATCACCGATAACTTGAGCTTACAGGTACCGGAGGCATTGGTGGTAAACAGGACGGTGATGTGCTCCTTCTGCATCTTCCGGCCCCGAATCCTGCTGGCATTCTTCACAACGAAGGTCTTGGAAGGTAGCTTTTTCCAGAAAAGACCAGATTCGTCCGTGTTAAACACCTGGTCGTCGGTGTACTGTCCTTCCTCTATAATCTCACGTAAAAACGGAGGAAATTCCCTAGCCGCAGCACGGTCAGCACTCGCTTCTTCACCACCAATGTTTATATTGGTGATCTTGTTCTGCATCTTAAACCTCTGTAACCACCCAGAGGAAGCATTAAAGGGTTTGGGCTCTGTAATTCCCATCTTTCGTGACACTGCAGCATACAGTTCACGTGCGTACTCCTTAACAGAGCGCGTGTCGAACCGCCATGTTCTGTCGCGCCTGACGCACCAAGTAGCTCACAAGTAATTTTTCTGTCTTGAGAAGCACCTGGTTGTGAAAATACTTGATCATAGAAGCACCTGTAGACTTTGTGATCTTCATGTGCTCCTTTATCTTGGCTGCATCCTTCTTTATCGTCCGGATCGTAGATTCGTTCACACCATGCTGGCGCGCCAAATCAACCTGTCTTGTTCCTTTCTCTAACTCTTGGATGATCTTGTACTTCACCTCGTAGCTTAAGGAACGTCGTGTCTTCTTGAGCTTAGGGCGGCTGGGTCCAGGCAAGGAAAGGTTTCTCTCTGGGGGTGGTGGTCCGGCGGAAGCCATTTTAGAGAACAATGGATGCACGATTACACGGTGTGGCCTGGAGGGATGAAACTGCCGCGGCTAGGTCAAGCGTCGTCTTTCCTCTCTCCCTCCCTCCCCCGGGTGGACACGTCATATTACTTTAAACCAATTACAGCTAGCAGCGGAGGGAGGTAGGGATGCATGGCCAATCACAGTCCGATACGTCATACGACGTCAGTGATAACGCAACAGAGACATGCACTGCGCAACCTTACCGCGCGGCTTGGCTAGGCGGAGGCAGAGGAGGGAGGAGGCAGGAGCAGGCGGGTGGAGCGAATCTAAAAATAGCGTCGAGCTGGACACACTCAGCGTAAAGGGGTACACGCACCGCGGAATGTGAGCATCCTGGGTTCCGGCAGGGCACCGCGTAAACGTGGAAACGCGGAATGTGGGACTACGTAAAGTGAGGGTTGACTGTATATATTAAATATATATATATATATATATATATATATATATATATATATATATATATATATATATATATATATATATATATATATATATATATATATATATATATATATATATATATATATATTGTCAGCATTTCCCCTTTAACTCTTACTATCTCTTCTTCCTTCATGACTCCTGCTAGCTCATAGCCTAACTAGTAACAATATAACACCTTTCACACAGTCACCGCTGAAGTTTTAGAAAATAATTGATAATTTTCACTTTTTGCCAACAGTCTATCATGGCTCACTGTATATGGTTGGCTGATGAAGAGATTTACACACTTCGTGAACGAGGAGTTGGCATTGCTCATTGTCCAAATTCTAATATCTCTATCCGGTCAGGCCTGTGTGACATCCGTCGACTACTGAATCATGGGCTTAAAGTTGGCCTTGGTACAGGTAATTTTAGAGATGAGAAGAACTTTTTTCAATTAGCAAATGTGAAGTGGCACCTCCTAGAATATTTGCTGTTATTTTGTGTTCGAGAGCAGTGTGTGGATTGAAGTAAATTCAAAGAATGAGAAACTTGATATAAGAGTTGATCTGGGTTTCTTAGGTATGGACATATTGAAAGAATTGGAAGCGATACATTAGTAGAAAAAAATTCAAAGTGATTAGATAAGGTAAACAAGTCAATTGAAAAATAGAAGGAAGGGTGAGGTGAAAAAGGCACAAGATACGGGTAGTAGGGCATGTACACTCAGAAAAAAAAACCTATCTTTACAATTCTTGTGTCCATGAGGCATACTGTTATTCACCAGTCACATTGCTATGAATTAATTTATAATTTGAATGAAATATCTCAATTAGGCCTACAGTGATAGGTAGGAAATGTCTCACAATCATATCTACCAACCTTAGTGAGACAACACAATTGTTCAGTTACAAATTCATCAGACCCTGCCTAAAAGATAATTATTTTACCGAGTGTACATCTGGGAAGCAGCAGCATTGTGTGTCAATGACCAGAAAGCTTGGCACCGAGTGGATGGATTTCGTGCTGATGGATGACTGATGGATGATGTAAGTTGTGGAAAGTGACAGTGATAAACCAGATGATATTTTAGGGTCTTAATATGGACGGGAGACATCACGGCAATATACAAATGTCACAACAGTTAGAGGATGAATGACAGCAAATGGAGGGAGTGTTTGTATTTACTGTGTTTATGGCTTTATGTCATCCTATGTCATATTGAAGGGAAAAAAAAGGCCTGTAAAAATGAAAAGACTTTAGCTACCCATCAGGTTTTCATAAATATGTTGTATATCATGCTAAGAAGATACACAAAAATCAAGGAATTTTCCATCCAAGTCTGAGTTCATGCCATTACAGTACTAAGAAATGTAGATAAAATGTAATGAAATATTAGATTAATGCCAATTCCTTATTTCTCATCAGACTGTTCTGGTGGCTACAGCTCATCTATGTTAGATGCCCTTCGCCAGGCACTACAGGTGTCCAATGTTCTAGCTCTGGATCGTGACCAAGATTATCAGCGACTCACTTTCAAGGAAGCATTCCGAATGGCAACACTTGGCGGTGCCAAAGGTATGTATTTATTCAATGTTGGCCTAAGATCAGGTATTAAAATACAATGGTGATGAAATGAACGGAGGGAATAAGGTTAGGGACTCTTTCATGAGTAAAGCAGTCTTTGGAAGTGTTAAAAGACTCATTTTTCCCCTGGCTTGGTGTACTTATTCTACCCCATTTAGCTGGGAACAGATTAAGGTTGATAGAGGTAATTTAAAATCATGTTTATTTATCATACCAGTTGCATAGTTTTTAAATGTGAAAATATTTTTTTAACAAATAAAAAGTGCAGGGATATATCCGACAAGATATCATTGTCAAATCTTCTCACTGGGGCGACCTCCTGCCATAGACTGAAGATAGTTGTAGAAAGGTGATTTGAATTAATGGAGGATATGAAATGTAGTGAAAATACTCTGTGGCAAGAGTTACACAGATTTCTAGTCTAAGGTTAAAATGAGTGTTAGTAGGCAGTGGTTCTGCAAATGGGAATTTCAACAGAAATAGCAAAGCTCACACTGATGGTATGTGGTGCTGGTACTAATGAGTATACAGTAGCTTATTAGAACTCTGATTATTTAATGTATAGTATGGAATATGAGTGATTGGTAATTTATACTGGTATGGTGTTTCAATGTAAAAGTTAGCCCTTTCTAATTGTAATGAAATTACTCAGACCTCAACCATATTCTGAGTAGTTGCATTTGTTTTCTCATTCTTTTAAGGGTGGCCAGAATCAATAGGGAGCAAACCACTTTCTGCTTTTCTTTGTTGTCATCTATATATTCTTTTTGCATTTAGGTTTGTGTTGAAACAAATGACAAGTACAAGACACTAAGCCAGTCATTTTAATAAGTCAAATCAGTGGGAAGTAAAATCTGGCTGGTTTAAATACCCCTTTATGCATAAAGATGTGCCTTTTGCTAATTTCTGTTTGGTTTCATGTGCAGTACTAAACATGGAGGACCGGATAGGGAATTTTGAAATTGATAAGGAGTTTGATGCTCTGCTCATTGATGTGTCTGCACCTGGATCAGCAGTTGATATCTTCAGCAAGGTAAGATGACAGATGATGGTTTAAATAACTCACAGTAGTGTAATCTTAGAGTGGGGAATGCAAGAGCTATGACAAGGATACATTTTCCAGTTAACTGAAAAGCTCATTACAGTACTGAGGAATGATATGATTTTGAGCCTTTACTTTGCATACAGCTCTGATTAGTCAGAGAATTGAGTTTTTGTCATATACTGGTTGTGGTACACGTTTAATTTTATGTGCAGCTGTGAATTTGGGTTTCCTGCACCAAGGAAGGGAGAACAGATAGGGATCTCACTCACATGCTCAATGAATTCAGCTATAGTAGTTTAAGATTTGAAGTGGTTTGTGTGCTGATTTGGTGAAACTTATGAGCAACCATTGTCATACATAAAGGTTATTTGTACCAAATAGTCTCCTGTGTCATAGAAGTTTACTCCTGTCAAAATATCTTTCTGGCATCCTGAATATTATACCTGTACCTGTCAGCGGTGAATTTTAGTATTATTATACCTTTGATTATGTCCCTTAATTTATTACAGGTATATTAATATGACAGTACAGTACATTACATACATAATGTAAGAAAATCATAGTTCTCTGTGAGCAACTACAGTAGTACTAAAAAACCCTGTGGTTGGCAAATCTTCCATTGACAAGACTAAAGGCTAATAGGAAATAGGAGGTTAGGTTCCATGGCAGCAGATAACACTTGTCAATGCCTAAATTACCTGTTCCTTCATTAAACAATACAGCAAGCCCTTAAAATTCTCGGGGGTTAGGTTCTCAAAATGGTCGTGAATAGCCAAATCCGCGAATAACATTTGCTGACCAGGGGGTTACATAATTTCTTGAGTGCAAAGAAATGTATATTCTCTGTGTTTGCTCTTTGGAAAATTATTTCTTCTGCCTGTCATAGTCTACCGTCAAGTCAACTCCATGCTTTGTTATTAAAGTAAACTAATACAAAGCAAGCATGGAGTTGTCTTAAGGGTAGACTCTGACATTTTTAATAAATTTTGTTGTCTTGTTTCTGATTATTTGTGAGAGGATTTACCCATCATAATTTATTTGTTTGCATTTTGTGTGTGTATGTCTATACACACACACACACACACACACACACTACATCCTTGACCACCAAAGGGTCAAGACGTACCTGGCGCTCCTCTCGGAGCAGCTAGGTCAACTGTTAAGTTGGCCCATACCAACTCCCTCCCCTGAACCCTCCTCCCCACCTTAATATCAACAAGTTCTCGCCAGAAGTTACAATTTCATTTAGGAAAGGAACAGAACCAGTGTTAAACAGAGGTGAACAGTGCTTAAGTCAGTGAAAACAACTCAACAGTAACAGTTGTACCCAAGTTAACCTTCACACAGTGAGGTCCCAGGTACCCAGTGATAACGGCCCGTGAGACCCAACAACCAGCGATGTGTTAATCCGTCTACGATAGGAAGGCCTGGGGCCACACCTCACTCATATAACACCGTCTGTGAGGGAATTACTACACCACGTGAGGCCCCGCATAACACCATCTATGAGGGAATTACTACACCACGTGAGGCCCCTCATAACACCATCTGTGAGGAAACTACTACACCACGTGAGGCCCCTCATAACACCATATGTGAAGGAGTTACTACACCACGTGAGGCCCCGCATAACACCATCTGTGAGGGAATTACTACACCACGTGAGGCCCCTCATAACACCATCTGTGAGGGAATTACTACACCACGTGAGGCCCCTCATAACACCATCTGTGAGGGAATTACTACACCACGTGAGGCCCCGCTACACCATAACACCATCTGTGAGGGAATTACTACACCATGTGAGGCCCCCACACCATCTGTGAGGGAATTACTACACCACGTGAGGCCCCTCATAACACCATCTGTGAGGGAATTACTACACCATGTGAGGCCCTGCATAACACCATCTGTGAGGGAATTACTACACCACGTGAGGCCCCTCATAACACCATCTGTGAAGGAATTACTACACCACGTGAGGCCCCTCATAACACCATCTGTGAGGGAACTACTACACCACGTGAGGTCCCTCCTAACACCATCTGGGAGGGAGTTACTACACTACGTGTTTGCTGTTCAACACCTACAATAATCTGTATGTTCCTTCACCTTTCTCTAATGAAGGCTTTTGTTAAACCACCCATGTATGTAATAAGTCATTTATGTCCAATGTATATTTTCAGCCTTCGGGCTGCAGAACTTTTTCAATAAACCGTTAATTATTATTATTATTATTATTATTATTATTATTACACACACACACATAAGCTATACAGGTAAAATAAATTACTGTCTCTAGAACGAATGGCTCCCTGTCCTGGCCGCAAAAATGTCAGCAACTTCAAAACTACCCTTAGCCATTCTTGGGTACATCCAGTATCTTCCGCGAATAATCGAGGCCCACAAATTAATAATCCGCTAATTGTCAGGGCATGCTTTACCTGTATTTTACATTTAATTACATTTGAGCTGAACACATATAAAAAAGGCATAATATAAATTAAATAGTAATACTGTACAGTCTCTCCTCGACTTACGACGGGGTTCCGTCCCGACAACCAGGTCGTAAGTCGAAAAGGCAAAAATAATACATAAAAATTCTAAAATGGGTGTCTCTTTTTCTTCTCAGCACCACGAGAACTCTCACTTTTACACTTGCCAGCCATTTTAAAGGGAATTACAAAAAAAAAATTTGTCAGTACACAGCGCGATCGCAAACATCGGTATTAGAAAATAAGTAATTTTAAAAATATTTTATACGACCAAGGCGGTCATATGTCCGGGGCGTTGTAAGTCGAGTATGTCAGAAGTCGAGGAGTACCTGTACTGTACAAATTTTTACAGTTCATCTCTGTGGAGATGGCATGTTGCAATAAAAAGAAGTGAACATGGGTGTGTATGTATGTGAAGTAAATGTGTGTGGACTTGGTAGGTCCCCAGGTTAGACTGTCCCTAAAGATCCTGTTCTGTAAATGTCTGAATGAGCAAAAGTTCCCCAGTGACTGGAAAATGGCTTATGTGAGGCCTGTATTCAAGAAGGGCAATCATCACTCCATGGATAATTCTAGACCAGTGAGCTTGACCAGCATAGTGTGTAAGGTACTATTATAAGAGATGCCATGATGGAACATCTACTGTGAAACAATCTTGGAAAGGATTGCCAACACAGTTATATGACGGGACGCTCTTGCTTAACACAATTACTCTAGGTACTGGATGTTTGATCCCAAATTCTGGAACAGGGTAATAATATCAACAATATTTACCTAGATTTTGCCAAGGCTTTAGACAGCATACACCATGAAAGGCTGAGAATTAAACTGGAAGGGTACAGGATTTGTGGAAGTGTCCTAGCGTGGATTGGAGACTTTATGCATGATTGCAAATCATCATGTTTACCCATGACGAGCGGGGTACCACAGGACAGTGTATTGGGCCCGGTGTTGTTTGTTTGTTTCGTAAATGACATGCCTGACACTATACACTCTTTCATACAAATGTTTGCAGATGATGCCAAGTTATTCAGGGAACTTAAGAGCAAAACAGACTTTGAAGAGCTGTAGAAAGATCTCTCTGAGCTTCAAGATTCAATGTCACTGAGTATAAGAGGATGCACCTGAGTCATACCAACGGTAAGGAAGTGTATCATATGTTTCAATGGGACGAAGAAACTGCATTAACAGAGACCGAATGTGAAAAGGACCTGAGTGTGTCTGCTGATAATGAACTGAAGTTCTCGGGCCATTGTGAGAAGAAGGTGAATCCAGCAACTAAACCAGTTGGTCTAAAAAGAAGGTTGTTCAGATATGTAGATGGTCCATCCCTCGAAACGATCTTCAAGAGTGATGTGCTTGCCCATCTGGAGTACTGTCACCCCATCTGGTCCCTGAGATATGCTAGAGACTCTCAGTTGATTGAAAATGTCCAAAGGAGGGCCACCAGACTGGTGCCTGCACTACAGCACCTCAGTTATCCTGAGTGATTAAGAGTGCCTCTAACTGCCTAGCTTATACTACAAATGGGCAAGGGGTGACCTAATTGAGGTGTACAGCATAAACATCTCGAGGGCACAACTCAATTGAATGTCCATACCTGGAGCTGGCAGATGCCCACCCCACAAGGGGTCACAGCTCAAGGTTGAAGAAACCACAAGTCCAGAAAACTGGGAGGGTAAACTTTATTGAAATGAGAATTGTGAACTCTTGGAACAATCTGCCAAAGAGTGTTGTGAGGGCACTAAGTGTGAGCTCCTTCAAGACCAGACCAACACTGGAGCAGGTTCAGATACATTCAGGAGCCAGTGCATGCCCAGTCCAGTACTTGCCAACATTGCATACCAGAGACATGAGAGTAAACATTTCCTACATCCGCGGGATTATGGGAGGGGAAGGGGGGTGCGCCGACGGGGATCTTAGCAGGCCAAACTGTGAGTTGTTACTGTTATTTTTCAACTTGTATTTCCACGAAGATATATGCACACACAATCGTCCATACCGAATGTGTATAAAAAGTTGAAAGAAATGATTATCATAAGGTCAAAAAGATAAGAGAATAAACACTTGTTACCTCCACGGGAGCTAACCCACAATCGTGGGAGAGGAAGGGGGAGTGGGGCGCATTCCTGTCTCCCGTGTCCTTGGTGAAACCATTACCAAATAGAAATGCAATATTTTTATTTTATTTATTAGTACCGTACAGTATTATTTTTATTTATTCATCACATTTACGAAGGAATGCATTAGACCGTGGAGGGCTAATCCATGGATACAAAAAATAAGGCCACGGTTGGTAAAATTGTATACAGTCTGCCCTTCACATACACGGGTTTAGCATTCACGGATTCGCAAATACGCGGATTGCCCCGCCGGAGGAATATTCTTTACATTGAAGTAATTGAAGTACATTCAAATCGCGCGCAGCACCGAACACTGCACACCGCCCGCTCCCGCTACCTCACACACACACGCATAGCTCTCCCTCACTCAGTCAGTCTCGCTGTAACCACGCTTGTGTTGACATCAGCATTGTAGTTGCAAAAATATTACATTTCCGTGAATGTATTATATCAAGCACAGTATGAATAGAATATCACTAATATAACAGTATTTTAACCGAAAACTATTAAAAAAACAAGTTACATATCTTGAACATCGGAAGGTTAGGTAAAGTCTTTTGTTTTCATGTAGTTTATCCTAATTTACACTGAAATACATTACGTTTCAGCAAAACTACTATTTATTTCTGAGAATATGGAAATGTAATATTTTTGCTGAAATGACGTACGTATTACAGTGGAAAGTGACGAAAGCAATGACTTTCGCTTTATTTCGTTCAAAAGATGTTAACGTAATCGCTTTTCGAATGGTTTTCAGTTAAAAAACTGTTGTATTACAATAATAATCTATCCTAATTCACTTGTGATGCAATAGTTTTTTAACTGAAAACCATTCGAAAAGCGATTACGTTAACATCTTTTGAACGAAATAAAGCGAAAGTCATTGCTTTCGTCACTTTCCACTGTAATACGTACGTCATTTCAGCAAAAATATTACATTTCCGTGAATGTAGTATATCAAGCACAGTATGAATAGAATATCATTGTAATATAACAGTATTTTAACCGAAAACTATTATAAAAACGAGTAATATCTCTTGAACATCGGAAGGTTAGGTAAACTCTTTTGTTTTCGTCATGTATTTTATCCTATTTTACATTGAAATACATCACGTTTCAGTTGTGGGATTATGAGGCTAATGATAGGATAGAATATTATTGTAATACAGTACAACAGTTTTTTAACTGAAAACCATTCAAAAAGCGATTACGGTAAAATCTTTTGAACAACGAAAGAAAGCGAAAGTCATTGTTTTCGTCATGATTTTATCCCACTTTCCGCTGTAATATGTACGTCATTTCAGCCAAAATATTACATTTCCATATTTATTTCTGAGAATATATTCATTCAGTCACAGTTAAGGTAAAATATACTTGTGATATAATATTTTAATGAAAATATGGTATCATAGTTTTCTTTTGTTTCAAATTTAATTCACAAAGATTGATGTTTCAAGTGTAATGAACAAAAATTTATGTACAGTATCCATAAATAAACTTTAAAAAATGAATACTTTATGTTTTACATCGTCCTGTGCATACCATACCATGCATTTGGCTACTTTGGGCTTGCTATGATGACGCAAGAGATCTGCCCTGGCAACTGTACCGACACTCACAGCTGGTGGTGCGTTGGTGCATCGTTTCCATTGTTTACTGGTAGTTACTGGTAAATATTTTTCAACCTAACGAAACTATTACCCGTTAAGAGGTCGACCCCCAATTTTTTGCCAAATAATTTGGTCTTAAAAACTCGAACTACACACAGGTATATACGGAAAATAAGGACATGGGGGGCCAGGGGTTTTTTAGGGGGCAGCAATAGTACACGGATTTTTAACATTCACGGGTATCTCTGTTACCTAACCCCCGCGTATGTTAAGGTGCCAACTGTAGAGTGAAAACCATGTATACATGGAATCTTTGGTTGACGGGGGTCTACTGAACAGTATAATTAGGTATCCTTTATATACTTTTACTCCTGAAATATAAGGAGTATAATCTATAATTTTAGTCATACTCAGGAAGCATTGCCAATAATTTGGAGTAATATCAGATTTTTAAAGTTGAAGATATTTATTGGAAATCATTTACTTTAAAGTAGTTCTCATAGGTGACATGCAGTAGGTAACCCTCATGGGCCTCATTCCAGCTTCACTATATGTACTGTACTTACATTGTTTTTAATTTTGAACTTATACCAATTTAATTTTTTTTCAGGACACAATAGAAGATAAAATTCAGAAATTCCTGTATACTGGTGACGACCGTAACATTGCCCGTGTGTATGTGGCAGGACATAGAATATTGGATCTGCACAATAAGAACCTACATTAATTGCCTCAGAATTTCAGAACTAATCAAGACAGTAGGACTAACATGTTCATGTATGCTTGGGTCTACCAATTTGTTGAGGATCCACTGAGAAGAACTGGTAATGTTTCTTCAGTTTGGATTCTTAAATTGAAATCTGGTAAAGAACACTGCAGAATTTGTTTAAGTGGTGTCCAGCAAGCATGTTCCTAGGTGCCATATTTTTAGAAAGTTACTGAATGTTTTGCTGACGAGAATCAATAGTGAATTTTTTTGAAGAATAACTGAAGAAACGATCTGGGAAGATCTTTCACATAAAATACATTAAAGTAACCATTAAAAATTAGAAAAATAACATTGACATTCTTATCCAAGTGACATGCCAAGTTGGCATTGAAAATTATTTAGATTTGACATTGGAAGATAAAATATCTTCTAATACTGCAGGATAGAAAGTAATTATTTTATATATCTTAACATTTTATGGTATGTAAAAGAAAAAAAGTTTGTCTATATAGTAGTGGGGTGCTGCAGCTGAATGGAAGTGCAGTAAACAATTTATATAACAGGATTCAATATTTCTGTTTCTTATAGAAACAGTAAATTTCATAATGAAGACTGTAACTAAAGTTAAATTGAATGTCATATTAGTCTCTCCTTTCGAAAGATTGTTGACATAAAATGTATATTATTTGCTTTGCCTTCATGGAAGGACTACTTTTATATTATCCCAGTATTTAAAATCCCAACATTCTTACATAGATGTCCGTGTGATGTCGTGTATTGGATTTTTTCTATAACTTAAATGATATTTAATCTGTGGCAGCTACTGGATCACACACAAAACTTAATACATACTCCTTCCTTCATATACTATCTACTGTATAAGTAAGGCTCTTATCTTACTGGTCTTATGAACAGAAGAAGAAAGAATAATATGCTTAACTGATCACATTCTCAGACCTTATAAAATACTGTTACAAGTGAATATACAGTTTGTATAAAATCATATATGCAACATAATAATTTGAGCTTCAACACACAGATGGGTTGTGAAAGTTTTTCGGTCTGAGGAAAACCTCTCGTGAGTTTAACGAGTGGCAGATATTAATTGTAATTTTGTTTTATGTAGTATATCGTGGTCAGCTTGAAAATGTATTTAATCTTTACCTGTGCTCTGACCGAGTGATAATGTGCCAATTGGTTGCAGTTGATAACTACATACAGTATAGCTACATCATGTGAAAGTGAGCAGAATCTGAATAATTTAATAGATGCTTTGATTTTCACTGAACAGTAGATTCGATTTTTTAAGGCCAAGTGCATCTGTTCCATTCCAGGAGTTGGAGAATGGAGTATAGTTGATAGAAAGGTGATTCAAATAGAAAGATGTACTGTATTCATATAAATGGAGTTTCCAAAGTATAATTTTTTATGAATTTTTACACATATTAAATAAAGAATTTAATAAGAAAATTAATATCAAGTAATTTAAAAATTTATTAATAAAGAATAACAGTATGTATATAATGGGTTTTAATATAATCATGATGTATTATTATCAGTAATTCTTTTTTAAATTTTCAGTAGTATCTAGTATCATCTTAAACACGTTTTGTAAAGACAATACAGTACTGTAGTTTGTTTTTGTAAATACACTAAATAACATTAGGAATTTTTTTTTTACTTCTCCGATGAACATCAGTACTGTACAGACATCTGAATATAGTATGCTATGTACCTGCATTTTTTTTGCAAAGTTTACTAAACTTTTGAAAAACTGCTATGAAGAAGGACCGAGTGTGGGAAATAGTTTACAATGGTCCCCCAATTGATCTTGAGGTTACCAAAGAAAAGTGGGGTTCAGTTAGTTTGATTTTGGTGGATTAAAAATATCTTAGCAAATCAAGGGGTTGAGGGAGGAGCTTATAAAGTTTTGTCAATCCTGCCCCCAAGATTTTCTTTCTTTTTACAGAAAACATTCAGGTCTGCATTAAGTGTTCCGCATTAGAAGGGGGTGAAGCGCCACCCCTGGCAAAATATGTTTTTGATGGCTATCACTATTTTCACTCTTCCTCTACATGTTGGCGTTGGATGTAACCCCCTAGGTAGAATAGAAATATGGAAGAAAGTCCTTCACAAATAAGGTGTGATTTCGACTCGGGCCGAGAGCTACGTATCTGGCTATGCACTCAGTCAATGAAGGTGGCTACATCCCGTTCAGAGTGAGAGGAGCGCGAGCCAATGACAGCGCGCCTCCCTCGGACCATACACTCACAGCTCCTCGGCCAATCCATGTGCCCAGGTGCTGCCCCCTTCTTAATTTTGGGGTGTTGTATAGCATAAGGGGAGGTTCATTATACTTTCTACTGCTATTTTTGATAACTTTTCGGCGTAACATTGATGTTATTCGTGCTCCACGGGTGTGAGAAGTGCTGTGCAATATCTGCTCGATATTAGAGCAAGACTTGAGTGAGGCCAGGCCTTCTGGTGTGGGTCCAGGAGCCCATTGTTCCTGAGCGTGTGTTTAGTGACGACAGTGCTCACGTGGACACCCCAGGAATGCTTGGTAATTGTGATTTTGGTGGTGAATTTAGTGGTGATTATGGTGATACAAGTGCTACTGGCGATGGTGCAGGTGACAATAACACTTTGAACGAATAGAATAACTTTTTAGCGTACTACGAAACATCCGAAGATCTTTTTGCCAACTACGATGAGTTAAAAGACAATGTGGCATGCACTGACGGCAATAATGACGATGAAAGTGAAGATGAAACTGAGTCTATTGGTAACACAAACAGTGACACTAATATATCACAACAAGAACATACAGACTGTGAGTTAAGAAGTGGACAGTGACGAGACATGCATTGACCTTGATAATGATGAAAGTGAGCCTGACCCAACGAATGCTAGTGAAAGATGAGCCCATAAATCAGTCTTATAATGAAATTGAACTGTTGCCAGCATCAATAATCAATGATTTAGTTGATGAAGAATCTGTGTGGCAATTTTTAGAGAGGGCAGAGAAAGACTTTGATCAGTACGTAATTGATTATGACAAGGCCATTAAAGTTATAAGCACTCCTCAGGATTTACGTAACTTCAACTTAATATGATCTTCAGGGATAATAAAACGAAGGAACTAAAAGTAAGATTGTAATACAGTAAGATCTCATATTTTGCATTTTTGAATTTCGCGAGCACTACCTCATGTAACCAAGTCTTATATTTGGCGTAAAATATCGTGAATTTTGCGAGATCTAGCAAGCTGAATGCTGGCCCTCATACCAGTTACAGTCATTTCTGCTACAACGCGTGATTTGTCAACGCTATTTGGTTTTAACGCGATTGATGAATAGGGGAACGCTGTTTGTAAAATGCGAACTTTTGCGTACGAATATTGGCTATAACACGATTCCATCCTCAAAGTTTTAAGAGTGGCGCAGGGTTATGCAATGTTTACAGTTCATGTTTGAAATTACATGTTCAATTGATTCGTGTCTTTTGTTTGTGAAGTGTAAATTTTTTTTGTTTTTTTTTCTGCAAATTTAGCAGTTACCCATAAATACTGTATGAAAAGAATAAGTAAAAAGAATGTTTCGCAGTGAGGACTAATAACGGTTTACACCAGCGCTCTCTGTTTACATCACATGATCAGTTGAATAACGTAGTTTTTGTCGATTGCTCAGTGATTTTCGCTGTTTCCTCCAATTTTGTAGTGTCAGCGATGAATATGGAAAGACAAGGTAAGAGGAATGTTTCCAAGGAGCGTTCTGGTGATCGAATTGCCGGTGGTGAACGTAAAAGAGGTTTACAAGAACGCAACTATCGCGTTGTAGCCCGCTCCGTCTTAGCGACTGCCTGGGCTGCTATTGTGTGCTTTTTTGGGTGGTGTTACCATCTGTCGAGTCAAGATAATGGCCTCTACCTCTACTAGGGGTCCTACTGGTGCTGGTGGGACAGATACACCTAAGCGGCCAAATAAGGAAAAGGAGAAGCGGGACTATCATAAGGGAGTTAAGTTTGCCAAGTACTCAATGCAGGATAAGCAGCGTGTGATTAAGTTACTTGACGAAGGCCTAAAATCTAGTTTCCAGAAAGCATAATCAGGTCAATAAAGGCAGAATTTTTATCATTTGGAGGTTATAAATGGGAAAATCAGAGGTTGATGTAGAGTGGCCAGTTTATATTGTTATTTTTTCCATTAGTTTATGTTTTTGCATTTGTCGAATTTGAATTTGGCACAATTTTTCCAGTCTATATGACTCGTGAAATACAAGATCTTACTGTACTATTATCATAATACTGTTTTTACCAAAGATTATGCAAACTTTCTTCGCCTTTGTATCCGTATGTTAATTACGTTGGGGGAGGGGAGAGGTTAATGGCGGGGGGGATGAGTGTAGTGGTGTAAACCTTATTATTACACACTATTATACTTAACAATATTATAAATCTTTGGATAATAATAGGGACGGAAAGATAAATACTGATAGGCAAATGAGTTTTTTATTATTTCATTTTTGGGGGGGTAGGTGTAAGAAGAGTGCTGTTTTTGGTGATCATTAACTTGTTTTACAGTATTAACCCACAATAATACACTGTACTTACTTCCAGTTTTCACAGTTCACTAGGAGAGGGATTGAGCTGCATGATTAAATAAAATGAACCCTCTAGCCTTTTAAATTTGGCGCTTCACCCCCTTCTAATGCGGAGCGCCTCCATTATACTAAATAATCACTAGTCTTGGCCAGGTGATCCAACAATTTTGGCTTTATCTTTTGCTTGTTAAAACAGGGATTCCTCTCCCATTGCTTCTTAATTCATCTTGCTAAAGTATCAGCTTCATGTATCTGGAGAAATTACATTTTAGAAGAGAAACTGGATGTTTTGTGATAAAATGCACGGAAGCTGGGAGACCTTGTTACTACACATTCAAGTTGGTGACTTCATTTCTCACAAAAATTTAAATAAACAAGTGTTGCCAGGGTTTATTTGATGATGATGTATCCCAGCATCTTGGGGGATGTACAGTGGTCACTAGCTGAGAGTTTCTTCTTGTGCACTTCTGATAAAGGTCACAAACTTACAAAGCCAATAGGGATGCACCGGAACTTAGTTCCAGCCAGTTACTTCCGCCTGGAACCTTAATTTTTATGAAGTTTTGGTTCTGGCCGGAATTTCGTTAAAATAATCGGCCGGAACCTTATAGTAGTACTACAGTGAACCCTCGAAGATTCGGACCCTCCAAATCTGGATTTCGGAAGATTCAGACAAAATATTTTGGGGTTCTGGGCTAAGAAGCCTCCTTAACAAGCATTCCCAAAACAGAGCAAAGAACATTTCAGGCCCAGGGGCACTGGTTGACCAGTCGGTCTTGCTGGACACAGATGCCCAAGGAGGTGGGAAACATAAACAGTTGTCAATTGTTATTTGTGGGAAGATTTCTTTCACTCTAGTAATGAGACAGTGTTTCATATTATGTTATTGTAGGTCAATGCATGGTTTATATAATATGTTTATCACTGGACCCGTCACTGTTTTCAAATTAGACTACAAGATATGTATTTCTCCCATACTTATTTCGATCGTATGCCTGGCAACGGGTGAGGATAAGGGAGTGAGTTGAGTGTTGTCTGCACTTAACTGTCCTCCCTTCCTGCCATATTTCACTGGATTTACTGTTATTATTAGTGTTTACTGATATAGTAATGCTTTATAGTGATTAATCATGGCATTGTAGCCAGGGTGGACTCGTCACTGCAACCACCAGTCTACTGGGCGAAGCTGAGAGGTGTTATGGTTGTTTTTCAACTCGTATTTTGGTTCGATACAGGGGGTCCTCATTATCCGCTGTTAATTGGGACCAAAAAAACACCTCTGAGAACGAAACCACATAAAGCGGGGAATTAATCCCATAAGAAATAATAGAAACAGGTCAAATTGGGACCATGACATTGTACACGACACCCAAAAAAATATATACTGTATACATACAGTATCTTTTAACAATTATTTACCTTAGAAACATTTGTTAAACATTTGATAACACATTATTTAAAAAAATATATTTAACTTTATAAGTTATTTAACGTCCTTAAAGTTCATTGGGGGTCAGTGTGTTGAGGCAAAGTAGGTTGTGCCAGGTGGTGCAACCTCACTTCAGTGCTTCATTGAGACAAAATATTTATTATAATGTTTTAAAAATAAATAATTTGAACATAATAAAATATTTTTATTTACTTAGCTTCAAAGGTAGAGATGTTTGGATTGATGGAAGTGGGTGTTAGGAGAGGAGGAATAGTCGGAGGATGAAAAAGAAACAGGTGTAGGTGGATTGTCCACTCCCACTCTTCTTTTGCCTAATCACATCTAAGTTTACATATATTCTATAGCTAGTGTGCTTCCTTTTGAGCCTGGACCACCCTGTTTCGGTTGCGAACTCATGACAACAAAAACGATAAAATAATTCACCACAACATGCTCGAAAAGACACAACACAGCACTGGTTTGGACGAAACAAAGCTGGAGACACGTGTGCATGCATGACGCCAGGAAGAGGATGAAATTTCAAATGCTTCAGATAAAAATCCATAGATTTTATTGGGAGTTTTAAATCCGTAGATTTAAATGCGGCGACTTTTTACGTGGGTGGTCACAAAAAGTTGACCACTTGACTGTGAAACCGCAGATAGTGAATACTCTTATTACGAGGACCTCCAGTATACGTAACTTACTCTATTTAATTTTACTCATTTACATGCACACACCATCCTAAATACATATTGTGAAAAACAGAAAAGAAATAATTGTCCTAAGGGCAAACCTGTACTGTACTCAAATGTACTTAGTTAATTACTAAAGATTATATGTCTAGCGCAAACTATGGGTTGTTTGTACTCAAATTAATCGTTATCTTGCAAGAATTCCAGCAATATAAGTAATATTCTGCTAAGTAATGTCTGTGACATTTTATAAGTGAGAAACTTAAACTCTCTCTATTTGACTGATAACTATGCACTTGGTAACCTCCCTGCCCGGCTGTGTCAACACCTCACCACCTCCTCCTCCCAGCCAGGGTGAAAGTAGTTTTAGGCTTAAAGTTTTTACTTATAAAATGTCACAGACTTGACTTATCATAATATTAATAACTTGCATTGCTGGAATCCATACAGGATAACAATTAATGTGAGTATAAATATCACATAGTTTTCACAAGAGATAAAAACTTTAGTCTTTTAGGGTAGTATATTTGAGTACAAAGTGAGTACAGAAATAAGTTGCTCAACATTATGGCTTTTTTTACAGGAAAAGTCTGTATAACTAACCCTAGTAGTCAGGATAATACGTAATGTAATTTGTTGTTTTTAAAATCATTATTTATCGGTTTTATACATTTTGTACATTTGCCGGAAGATTCGGACAATCGGCTTTTCTGGATTGGTGGTCCCCCCTTGTAGTCCAGATTTTCGAGGGTTCATTGTAGTTACTGTTTCATAAATTAAAATATAATTCACTGTTAATGCAGCATAAAAAAAATGTGAATGCTTAATGAATATTGATGTATGTGTAGCAAAAAAATTATTACATCTTAAATCATATTTATTGTACTGTACATGTCATGTACAGTACAATACACTGAGTGTGAGGCAGCTGACCAAGTGTCCTGACACGAACACGACGTCAAGGACTCTGGGCACACCACAGAACCAGTTGCAGTTATTTAAGGTTCTTTACAAATCGTTTGTTCTGCGTATACAGTATTTATATATAAGGTGAACTAAAATTTCAAACTTAATATAATTTGTGAAATAACACATGCAGTGAAGGGATCACTAATACAAGGTTGCATGTTATCTAGCAAGTGTGTGTAATTCACCTTTGAATAACACTGTAGCCCTCTGTTCGGGAACGACTGCATTAAGTAAACAATAAATAACCTAAACCTTCATATTTGTAGCTTTAGTTTGACAAATGACTTTAAAAAATTTACTGTAGACCAATAATATCATACCATACTGTACTGTACTAGGATCTCTGAATATTATGTACTGTACTTAAAACAACTTAAAGAAAGAAGCCATAACACCTAA